CTGTTAACTTGGTAGTTACATTCAGAATATAAATAATGTAGTTTATAAATCTCAAGTCTTGTTAACTTGGTAGTTACATTCAGAATATAAATAATGTAGTTTATAAATCTCAAGTCTTGTTAACTTGGTAGTTACATTCAGAATATAAATAATGCAGTTTATGAATCTCAGGTCTGATCTATCTGAATAATAATAATAACTTTAACTGACATTCTCTATAACTGAAAAAAAGATTTTCCCCTAGAAAGTTTAACCGAGTGGAAACCTACAGTAACAAATATTTTTGGAGCAACAAAATCCATATCTTTTATTTTCAGATATTTTGGAAAGATTTGATTTTTTTATTCTAAAATAATTCTAAATTGAAAGTATATAAACTACTAAAAGACTTACTTCAAAAGTGACAACACGCTGCTGCTTAACATGTATTGTAAAAATGGCATGTGAACGAGATGATTGAACGTTCATATTTGTACTAGCCGTTGTTCTACACAAGGCTCCTACTTTTAAATACTGGAGAGTCTACAAGAAAAAACTTGTGTTATTATAATACATTCTATTTAGTTTAATAAGTAGTCATCAGTAAACACTTTTTTATCTACTAAACACACCTGTGACATCATATTTAAAATATTTCTAAATACTGTAATCAGGATAAAACTTTAACACAATCTGTATCAAACACTAATAACTTAACCTATTTGGTTATTAGCTAGTAATAAAAATCATAATTTTGTAAAAGGCAGTGTGTTAACTTCTAGAAAACAGCACAGCAACAAAAAAATACAGACAAAATAAGTATTATTTACACACTGATGAGTGATGTTTTATTCTTTTAAAATAACAACAAAGAATCATGAGTTTCACAACTAAAGTTCTTTTCATAGACAAGATTTATATTTCGAGAAATAGATTTTTAAATTTCACTGTAACTGACTGATATAGAATATTAAAAAGAAATCAGCTAACAATTTGCAACTCAAGTCTTTTGTAACCTCTTTATATTAACCTAATTAATTCCTAAATAAAATGATTATAAAGTAAAAAGAGAAACACAAATAAATGTCTGAGTTCCTGAAAAAATAAATCTCTTTACTTCAATAAAGAGTGCAGAGATTTGATTGACTTGCCTCCAAATAGTGTGGCTAGGTGTTGTCCCACTCTGACCTAGCACAATTGCATAAAATTTGCAAGACTAGATCTAGTCATGGTAATCAAACGATAAGTCTTGGTGAATCAAAACTTTTCTCTCCACATTTTCACGATGCTGTTGGCCAGGCTTGTGCCCAACATGCCATTTCTAATTGTTTGATCAAGCAGTAGTCCTAGAATATGACTAGACCTATGTTGCTTGGCTAAATTTGAAGATGTGTATATCTTCCAATTCTTCATTCTCAAAGGCTTTGAATTTTGTACAAGAAAATAGTTCAATATTTTAAGCTTTTAGAATATATTGTATCAATTTTTTGTGTTTCTTGAACAGAATTTTCAAACTGTTATCCCATAAAAACAATCCATGATTACCTGTGGGTGTACATTGGCCCAGTTATCAGGTGAATAAAAACAATCCATGATTACCTGTGGGTGTACATTGGCCCAGTTATCAGGTGAATAAAAACAATCCATGATTACCTATGGGTGTACATTGGCCCAGTTATCAGGTGAATAAAAACAATCCATGATTACTTGTGGGTGTACATTGGCCCAGTTATCAGGTGAATAAAAACAATCCATGATTACCTGTGGGTGTACATTGGCCCAGTTATCAGGTGAATAAAAACAATCCATGATTACCTGTGGGTGTACATTGGCCCAGTTATCAGGCAAAAATAATTTGATGACAACTTGACAAGCATCATTATTAGGAGTGTACAGAATACAAGTCACCCAGGTACAAAATTCAAAATTTTTGAGTTAAGTACAGAAAATGATATGCAATCATTTGTTAGAAAACTATTAAGGTAGCTAATTCTGACATCTCTCTCTCTACTACATATACACAAACAAGCAATCAAACACAACACAAGTATGCTTAAATGTGCATGTACATATTATTCATTAAGTGTTCATCTTATCTATTATACAGATGCACAAACACAAGAGCAGTTATAAAAACCTATAGTCAAAGACATTGGAAACAACAATCTTTGGATGCTGATGACCACTAGCCTTATCATATCAAATCCAGTCCATGCCTTCAATCAGAAAGTGCCAACCACAACTGCAAAAACAATCTCATAGAAACTACAACTTTCATTGCTTATGACAATCAACCTCATCAAATTGAATCAAGCCCCTACCATCAGATAGAAATCAATTATTGCAATGGAAATGAAGATGCTAACCCATCTTTTACATTCAACATTGGAACATGGACACAAGCTTTTGATGAAATGAGAGATTTAGTTTGTGCATCGGAGATTACCTCTTGCCATTACATGGATGCAGATTTCAGTGCATCTACAAAATTGATTCTTGGTGACAAGTGTAAATGCCAGTGCTCAAAGATATTTATCGCAAGCAATTGAACAGAGAAAAGGGTCGAAAGAGACAGGCTTTGATACTCACCATCAAAGGGGAATGTCTTCTGTATTATATGCACATGATTTTAACTGCAATGCCACAAGGGAATTTAGCCAGCACAAAACAAGCTTAATGCATCAAAGCTGCATTACCAAAATTGTTGTTCATAAAACTAAAAGTAGACAAATCAAAAAGACTAAATAATCTTTAGATACATTTTACATGATGGCCCTATAGAGAGATTTGCCACATTCTTCCCAATAAGCAATCACACAGGTACAGAACTTATTAATTTTGTTGAAAAGAATGATACAAGAATTCAATCTTACAACAATGCATACAGTATGAATAGACAAAAGAAAAAAAAAAGAAATTCATGATGGAATGACTGGGATGCTGGGGACAGTGATTTTTCACTCTCTATTCAATATAAAGTTCAGACTTTCTTAACAACAACTGAAACTGTCACTGCATTAGACAACAGAATAGTGGCTCATGAAAACGTCAACTGCAAATCTAGGTTTCTACAAAACTTAAAAGTCCATGCCTACAGTGGACCTCCAAAATGCCATCAAAAAGCTGATTAGTACATATCCTATGTACTTGGAGAGTTGCAAAGAAGAAATTGTTGAATTTGCTGCCCTTTGCAAGGCAGGATTCATTGAAAGGCCACCAGAATCCAAGAAACAAAGTATGCTAAGAATGATATGCAACCAATTTTTGAAATCAACTTTCCCAAAGATAATATCATATCGAGCAATTACTTGGGGGGGGGGGGGGAAGATTGTTCTCAACACTAAAAATGTTAAAGAATACACTTCGATCAAGATAGGGTAAATGCATTGGTACTTTTGTGCACAGAAAATTACTTATTAGAATTGCATTTGCTACAAAAAGAGCTAGAAAGACAGTATTTTAACCAAGTACAGATGACATGATCTGCTACTACTGTTGGGCATACTATGTGAGTATGAGCGTGATCAAAGTGCATGTTTGGGTGTGCGTGTGAATGCTCGAGTTGTTATGCGTATGTGGTTTCTTTCTGTCTATATATTTTATTGTCCAAATTTTGTCTGTGTTAGAACACTACTTTTCCTAAAAAAGTTTAACCCAGGTCCATCTGACACTTAATCCATCCCTACTTACCTCTTCTGGGGAAGTAACATTACGTGTAGTCACCCCTACTGTATAAATATCTCCTTTGGAGTCTTCGTGTATCTTGATGTGTGACCTTTTCATCTGTATGAAAATAATAATTATAAATCCCCATTCTTTAAACAACAAAATATTTTGTTATTAATAATGTCTATCAGTATATTCTTTCATAAACTTTTATTAAATTTCTACTACATAAACATAATCATGAAAAGAATTTGTGGCGTATTTATAGAATAATTATTGGTAAAAATCAGTTAGATTAACAACTTCTAATATACAGAAAAGGGAGTGCATTTTGGTAACACTAAATTCCAACAATGCTTTTATGCAACAAAAGTATAACCTAATATTGTTGTTAGTCTATGTACTGAAAGTACTGAATGTATAGGCAACAAAACTGGAAAAATATTTGCTGATTTCTTAACTTAGTCTCCACTGATAAAAAAGGTTTGTGTTTTATTAAAAATGTTAGTGATATAACAGAAAATAGCTTAATTCAGAAACGATTTAAGTATAAAAATTGAATCAATATTTACTTTCATAATACATTTTATGCACTTGGCTCTAGGCTAGCTGATCCCACACTATGTCTTTATTTTAGGCTTATTATGTACCAACACTCACTACATTTATAAGGTTTCACGGCACACACACACAACCTCATGGCCCCCTTGAACCCGTCACTAAAATCATAATTGGCAGATAGTAATTGAACTATTCCATCTGGATAAATGCATTTTGGCTTTAATGACTCCTCCTATTTCGAGAAATCAATCATGACATGACACACACTGGCTTTTATATAGGTTAGATACAATGCAAACACATACATAACTGATATTTAAGAAAAGATTGTTCACACCCACATGGGATATGTATATTTACAATAAAATAGAAGATACTCTGTACCCCAAGTATTGATGCCACAAATTCTGGAAAGATTAATTACTTTCAAATAACCAACTGATATAAGATTTATAAAGCCACAACATAAAGCTAAATTTTGTGTTCAGTAGTAGCTTCCAATTTTAGTGGTAACTAGACTCAGACAAAATAAACTTCACATAACCTTATTCAGTGGTTCTTTATAAATTCTGTCAGCATAGTTTGTTCCTCAAAGCAATAAGATCAACATCACTAATAATGAATATTCATTATTTATAATACATTGAGAGATATCACCATGGCACTTCATTCATTTACCATTCTTGTGGTACAATTATCTTTATTCATCATATTCACATCCATAGTTGGTCTAAATAATTTCCCACTCAAACTTTATTCCATGAAAAAACATATACTTATTCACTCTCAAAATAATATTTTTGCCCATGCCAAGCATGAAAAGTCAACAACTGACATTAAATTAGAAGTCAAACTTTCCATTTAGATACAAGCCATGTTTGGTAAACTTCAATTTAAAAAAAAACAACGTCTTAATAGATATTCTGAGTATACAATAAAAATCCATTACATTTAGGCAAAATCTAATTTATTTTTTCTCTACATTAATATTCATACTTTTTTTTTTATAAGATCCATAGCTTTGGCAGAATTCTTTATATTTTTATTGCATCGATGTTAAACACTTATTTCCATAAATAACAACAAAAACATCACCTATTTTCATAAATAACAACAAAAACACAACTTATTTTAACAAATAACAACAAAAACCACTTATTTTCACAAATAACAACAAAAACATCACTTATTTTCACAAATAACAACAAAAACATCACCTATTTTCACAAATAACAACAAAAACATCACCTATTTTCACAAATAACAACAAAACACCACTTATTTCCATAAATAACAAAAACACCACCTATTTTCATAAATAACAACAAAAACACCACTTATTTTCACAAATAACAACAAAAACACTACTTATTTTCATAAATAACAACAAAAACATCACTTATTTTCACAAATAACAACAAAAACACCACTTATTTTGGTAAATAACATCTACACTTGCTTACTCTTTCATCAGATTCTTTTGCTGCATCCAGTAAATCAATGATTTCTTCATTATAAAGCTGAGGAGAGATAAAAATCATGGTAAGATAAATAAAATGATTTATTAAGGCATGGAAAAATGTAATGAAAAAGTAATGACTTTTAATATTCAGAGAAGACAGTTAAATACTTATCTCAGTTTATGAATATATCTGAAATGGTATGGAAACAATTCAGTTTATGTATAGAATGTTACAAGTAGATTTGATTGATTAAAGATATATTTTTAAATATTCAAGGTAAACATATTCCTTATAGAAAGAAAGGAGTAGTTGCAAGTAAAAAAACCAGGTTGGCTCACAAAGAGTTTAAGAGATAAAATTAAACAAAAGCATAATAAAGTTAAGAAATTTAAATTGACTGGTATGACACAAGATTTAGAAGATTATAGAAAATCAAGAAAGATGGTTAAACAGGAAATTAGGACATCAAAATAGATGTATGAAAAAAAGGTTGGCAAAAATGTTAAAATTAACAGTAAGGATTTCTTTAAATACATTAAGGGTTAACAAAATATTAGGATGGAGTAGGAATTCTGAGGGATGATAAAGGAAGTCTCATATTTGATGATTATGAGATGGGTTAGTTATTAAATTCTACTATTTCTTCAGTTTTTAATGAGGGAAAATCTTGCCTTACAAATCTTTTGACATTCTTTGTAAAGGTTACTGCTTATATAGATGAGAGTAAAAATGTAGATTTGGTGTATCTGAGCTTTCAGAAAGCATCTGACAAAAGACTTGTATAAACATTATTTCTATACATGAAGGGGATAAGTTAGCTAATTCAATAGAAGAGTGGCTGGATGGAAGAAAGCTGAGGGTTGTTATAAATGGAGTTCAGTCAAACTGGATTAATGTTACAAGTGGGGTATCTCAGGGCTCAGTCTTAGGACCTTTGCTCTTTTGGATTTACATAACTGATATAGATGAAGGAATGGTCTATAAATTACTTAAATTTGCTGATGATATTAAAGTATTGAATGTCGCTGCTTTACAAGAGGATCTAAATCAATTAGTGAGTTGGCCATATAAATGTAAGATGGGTTTTAATTATAATAAATGCATGTGGGTTATCATAATTTGAATGTAATAACCTTCACAGTATTATGAAAGAAAGGGGATCTTGGTGTAGTGGTTGATCAGTCTCTTAAGCCATCCAAGAAGTGTGCTGTTGCTAGTTCTAGGGCAAATAGGATTTTAAGTTGTATCTACAGAAATACTGAATACAAGTCTAAACAGGTTATAATGTTATTGTATAGTTCACTGGTTAGGCCACATTTGGGCTTCTTAACTTAGGAAGGACACTGAATTGTTGGAAAGGGTTCATCAGAGGGCTACTAAAATTGTGCCTGGGATGAAGGGGTTTTCATAAGAGGAGAGGTTAAGATCTCTGAAATTGTTTCTCATGAAAAAAGAAAAGTTAGAAGGTATCTGATAAGTTGTTTCCTTTGAATGTTGTGGAGGCAGTATAATTTAAATGAGTTTAATAGAAAGCTTGATAACTGTATGAATGATAATGGCTGCCTTTGAGGTTTTTATCCATATTTTAGTTAATAGTTTTAGTTTAGTTTAAAGGATAGGAGCCCAGATGGACCAATATGTCCCTAAACATTTTGTTATGTTAAGAATTGAAATTCCCAGTTAAAGTAGTTTAATTGGTTTAACTTACATATCTTGTGGTATTTCATTAATAAAAGTAATACATCATTTAAACCATATGATTTCAACTCATAATGTTTGGAAATGTTGTGATTTTCAACAACTCTCAGTTTATTGTTGAAAAATAATATTATTTAACAATGACAGAACATCAAGTTGATAAGAGTGTTGTTTTACTCTGCTCAGTAGCCAATGATTGTCAATATAAATCACTGTAAATATTAAGTTTTCCCTAATAATTTTCCTACTAGTATTATTTTAAGGTGAGTTCAAATGAATATTTAGTGATGAACTGTCATTGAGTAGTGAAAGTTGCTCTAAAATCAAAACTTTTATCATAGTAGATTATGTATTTAATGCATTATTCAACATGGTCATCCTATTTCTTATATTCCACAGTTTCAAGCCCTTTAGAAAGTAATGAAGACTGTGTTTTGACCTAGTATTAGAAGGTGTTACAAATATACATTCAACCATTTTAATCTCATACAAGTCAAAAAATAAATTAACGAACAAACCCAATCATTTTCAGAACATAGCTGGAGAACATTAATTTCTCAAAAAAATGTAAGAAGTTTTATCATGCCATGTAATGTCTAGAAAGGGCCATTTATAATTGTCTTACCAATGCAGTGCCATATCTTTCCCAGACAAAACTGGAGACAAAATAAATTATTGTGTAAGCATTGCACAAAAAGCAGGGAGACATGCTCTTTTGAATTTAGTCTCACTATCAAAAATAAGTTTGTTAAGCTTTTCATTGAACTTGTATGAATAAATATGTTGCAATAATTTAATTGTATAAAAAAATATAAAGATAATTAGAGGTGCTTTAAGATATCCAAAAAACAAATTTAATATAATTAAAATGCAATAAGAAATACAATGTAATATCTATATATATAAAGTACAAAAATCTGTGTTGTATGTCTGTCTGTTATTTAACTACTCCTAGGTCACTGAGTCAATCTCAACCAAACTTTGTGGGAAGACAGTTTAGAACAAGAAACATGTTATTGGAGAGTTCACAACTCCCTCCACCCCTCACTATTGCTGCTATTGAACATTTATTATCTTTGATGTAAGTTAACATTAACTACATTCATAGATGGTGCCACATTCTTACAAAAGAAAAAAACTATTAAACTTTTCATAACACAACATACACACAGTGGGCACACAAACGTCTTGTATATCTCATAGAGAGCAGCATTCTACGGAGGAATGCAATGGAAAAAATGGCCACCACTATTGCAATAGTACATAAACTCACAGAAAGTTTCTACTCCAAGAGCAACAATAAGGCTGATATGAAGAGCAGTTTCTTGAGTTATATCCACTTCCTACTTTGATCCATGGCTTTTCAACTTTGGCCCATAAAACACTTCTAAGGCCAATGACCATCAATTAATTAATCATGTGAAACACTGTGGAAGGACATTAAAAGGTGGGTCTTGAAAGCAGGTAAGAGAAAGTACCCCTACCACCACTATCTCTTCCTACAAAGTCACTCTGACCATTGCACAGTATATACATATTGAGTTTTTAAAGCTTATACAAAACTTTTGGTGAGGTAATAATGAATACTGTAATAATATGTTATGTTACAAATAAATTGTGTGACAGGATTTTTGTGTTATTTATCATAGCATCCATCCACGCATTTTTTTTCAAGTTCATAACCCGGCAAAGAACAGATGCATCAGCTTGTTTAATATAAGACATAAAAAGTATGGAATGAAATACATGCACACACTGGAAACAAATAAAAAGATGTTTTGGACATTTTTACATGTTGCTAAATAAAAGTTGTTGGTTGAATCTCATAAAAAAACACTTAAGGACTACCTGCACTAGTCATCCCTAATTTAGAAGTGATGGACTACCCACTGCCAACTCTTGAGCTACCCTTTACCAAGGAATAGTAGGATAGACTGTCATTATAATGCCCCATGGCTAAAAGAAGAGTTATTCAGTGATGGGTTTTGATCCCAAAACCCACAGATTGAAATTTGACTATCCTAACCATCAGACCATGCCAGTCTTAAATAACAGTATATTTCAGAAATAATTTTAAATGTACAATGGCATATATCAATAACCCACAAAACAACTAAAGACTTTATCAATATATTATTCAAAATATTTAGTATATTAGTGCAAAATTTTACATTTAGTAACACAGCTCAGTATACTTAAATTCACTAAATTTTCCTGTAGTCCTTGTAAAACTACTTATAAAACAGTTATCTTTAGATTGTGCAGTGACAATTAAGATTATATTGTTCATTATTAACAATAATGAGTAAACCTAACAATAAAAGAATATCAGATAATATGAAGTACCTCCATAAACTGAGTGGTCACTTTAAATTCTGGTGGTGGTTCTCCTTTTTCTCGTGCTTCTTGCTGTCGTTCATGAATAACCCTAAACAAATGTTCAACAGCTCGTGGAACAATACCTCTTTCCTCAGCATTAAGATTGAGATCAAAGCCCGTACCCATGGTGTACGTTTTTCCAGAACCAGTCTAAAACAGAAAATTATATGCTATACATAAGAAAATGTACTGAAACACCAACTCATAGATTCCATAGAAATAATAAGATGTGTTAAGTTTATGTAATATATCTGTAAAAGTTATTGCAATTTATTGAATAAGATAATTTCACATTATAGATGTCATAGCAAGATATTGCAACCATTTAAACATAATTTATGTGTTTTGCAAAGATGTTTGCATATACAAAATTATTAAAATATGTTTAATAAATCAAGTGTAATGAAAATTATTATATTTTGAAAACACAAAAATTGTTATAGTAGCCTGTATAACAGAATATTTCATCACTCAGTCTGCGAGTCAGAAAAACATGTTTGATTCCCAAACTAAGTCTTTGCACTCTCTGTGAAATTCTGAATAAAGGTTTGAGCTTCTTGAAATATCCAAACTATCTACCAGCATGGCCAAATTTACACAAGTTTCTTGGCTATGAGAGAGTAAAACCCCAATTCAAAATCTCACACAAAACATACTAGTAGCTACACAAGTTGAGTAATACAAGACCTGATTTCTCAACTCCTTAAATCTGTTTTCTCCAAGTTTTTGGGAGTTCTGTCAACAGAGATAGCCAAGGAAGACTAAATGGAGCTTTTGCTCAGTGAAGCTTATTTTCCACTGTAAGGTGGCTAATTTCAGTATCTGCCTGAACATGAACACTTCTATTATTTTGTGCAAGAGGAACATAGTCCAGCCAATCCCTTAAACTCTGCATCATCACTGTAAAATAATATTAAGAGGAGAGTTCTTTTGGCAGTAGTGTTTTTTTTTTAGGTTAACAGACCAAGCCCCCAAATTTGGTCTTATTGATTAACAGACTGGTTAATAATAAGTTATGTGGTTAATAAACTTAATTGTAAAATGTCATAGCACAGACAAATCTTCACAGAACTTGGGTTGCTAATGCAGGATCAGAGAGCAATAATGAAGTCACTTTGTGGCCTTTTAAAACTGAAACTACAATAAGTGATGAACTACATAAAAAAATATAAAAAAACAGAACTTCATGTTTCCATATAAATCACAAAATGAAAAAAATCTGAAAAATACATTTGACAAGAATCACTTAAAATCTTTGTGTAAGGAATTGTACCATCAACAATGCACAAAGAACAGAACATTTTGAAAATCTTAGAAAGAAAACTTGACCTTAGAGCATACTTCAAGGTGGCATTACAGAAGAAAAATATTTAAAAAAAATAAACAGAAAAAAATGTGAGCAGTTAGGTATATTTCATAAAGTATGTTAAGATCTGACCAGAAAAAACAAATATTTTTAATAGATTCTAACATTCTTACCTTGTTAAACTTGTACATATAATAGAGAGTACAATTTCATACGTATAAGTTGAAAAATGCAGTCTTAACTTACCCAGTCATATCATAACCTTAATATAAATAATCAATGAAGAAAGTTTTCAAGCCATACAAGCTTAATACTATTTTAAGAGTTTTTGAGACTTTTCCCAAAGACAAAATATCAAGTATAAGAAAATGTGTACCAAGAAATGTAGACTCAATTGAAACTTAGATTTATTCTTAAAGAGCTGTTGAAGTAGGATAATGTAACCAGAATATAAAACAATCTTGTAAATTTAGTGCCTATACTACAAATCAGAGAAAATTAAACTAAACTAGTTGAATACATTAGATAGTGTTTCACAGATGATAGGATATCTTTTTGTACTACAGCCCAAAGTTTCCAAGTTTTACATGTCACACCTAATGTAAGCCAGTGTAAGATACACAAAAAAAGTCATGAGATTAGGCAAACTAATTAATGAATCTACCTCTGGAAGAGGAGTATGATGTACAATCTTGAAAAATAATACATGTGACCATGCTCAAAGTAATCACACACATACCAAAAAATCTGATGAGACAAAAATTAGTTATTTTGGGATCTACTTGAGACACCACACCTGTGAAAGCAGGTTTCTTCTATCATCTCTTCACATTCAATTCACCAGAAACTATTATGATTTAATCAATCTCTACATGGATTTTCTATATTACGATAATGCTAAACAGTAAATATGAATAATGACAGAAACTGACTTAAAAAAATTCATGTTAAATAAATGTATTGGTCAATTAAAATGAAGTATCTTTAACTATAAACTGAACTGCACAGCCAAGCAGTTTGATCAGAGGTCACTAGGTATTGAACCCTTTATCTGTGCAATATGCCAGTTGTTTCAAGGATGCAGGGATGTTCCTGCTCATCGCAGTATGTTTTATTTTTTTTAAAGATCCTGACACGTCGCAGTGGAGGGAAATGTTTTTAGTAGCCATGGGATAAATGTAAATTTTGCTGTCACCACATATAAATGTTTGTTCAGATGTATCCAAAAGTCACAGCAAACAGGTTAAAAGATTCAGAGCTCAGACCAACACGTGCAGGAATTTTTGGCATTTTAGTATGATATTGATCATGGTTTTCTATTCAAGTGTTCAATACAAAAATGGGTAGGTTTCATGTATATTTGAAATGATAGAACCAATGCATACAATTATTCTGATGAACACAGTCTGAAGTATACATTAGACCTATTATTTTTACAATTACCTTTTAATTTTGTTTCAAAATACAGCAGTCCCTGGTAGATAAAACCCCTCCCAATAACAACTTCCTTTTAAATATGACTTTTTTTTTCTGTGCATGGAATGATTTTACATTGATCTGACCTCCCACAGATGTGAGATACAACCATGATTTTTAGGTGGGAAGTTGAATAATGACTTCTCTATAATGACTTTTCTTCATATCAATAATGAAATTACACAAATACAGTGTATACAGTATGGAACAGAGAGGTTACAAGACCGGAGATTGCTTCACAGCTTAGTCTCTTGGTACCACAGGGTGTCCAAATCAAACTCCTTGGTAGGTATTTTGGTTTAAAAACTTTCAGGTCCTGAAAAGTAACGAGGGGTGGTCAGAAACCGCTGTTTGTCTACACCCTGCTCATGGAACTAAGGTTTATCCATTTAGTGCATGTAGTAGATTTTGAGCTAGTGTTAAATATCTTGATTTAGATTTATTAGCAGGGTGTGAAGATTATTAACTCACAGTTTGTTGAGTGACAGACTCGACTAAACCGTGTAGTAAGCACGGCCAATGAAATGCCTCAAGGCATCTGGGAAAGCTGTGAATGTCTCAAGCTGAGAACAGGAAGTTGCTGTGAAGAAGAAGACTCAAAGTGTTGATATAAAAATGTAACATGGATGTTGATATAGACCAAAGTTATGACAAAAGCAACAAAATAAATGAGACATGGAAACAAGAGAATTTTTAGTCAACTTGAAATTGTTTTAATGCAACATATTACATTTCATGTAATATTTGTATTCAGAAAGGATTACTTTATTAGATTGGCTAGAGCCTAGCCAATCTATTTGGTTCATATATTTATTCTTATTTATTTATTGGTTCTTTTAAATTCATAGAATGGTTCCTTTTCAGAGCTGGGATCAAAGGATCCAAATTTCAAGGTGAAATATTGGTTTAGGGTAGGGCTATTTTGTTCTATTAAGGTACGTAGTTTCCAATGTTTGGTTCTTTGTTTAAAATTACAGCATTTTGTATAGTTATACCGTGGATTTTTTTAGTTGCAATGTCGGTAAATATGCGATGTTTATTATATTCTGATGTAGAATTCTGGATATTTATTGCATGCTACTTTATAAATTGATACCAAAATCGTGTGCTGAAAACTAACAACGAAATGCTTCTTGATAATAATAATAACTGCCAAACTTGTGAACATTCAGAGTGACTTCATTAAATGTGCAAGATAAACAAAGATGGATGCATTTTTATGAAATAAATTTTGTGTTAGTTCGTAATATTTTATATGTATGTAATAAAAATGTGATACGTGGATGTTTATGAAACAAGTGTGATCAATGAATAAGTTATTTTACATAAAACACAAACAAAGCAATTTACGTTATCTTTATTGAACTGTTATCCATCATAACTATTAGTATACTGTGTACTAAATTGCTATGTTATCTGACTACCTATACAGTATGAGATGAAACTTTTTTATCATGGCAGATAGGTCAGTCGTATCTAAGAAAAAAGAAGACATTCTTATGATTTACCTTTTCTTGGTTTAATGTGGAACTACAAATTTGTCACTGCTGTCATATTAACATAGCTGTGTATGCTACCTCTTTAATGGAGCTAACACCACAACATGAAAAATAGTGTTGCTATTGTTGTTACTACATATTTATAAATATAGCAGTGCTATCGCTACCACTACTTTTGAAACTGACATTTTTCATGATAATTTTTTGTGTCAATGGATAATGTAAGAATGAAAAACAAATATTTATAGGTAAATGCTAATACTTTATTGTTATGATATCATAATACAGAATTCTCAGAGCAGCCTATCCATATTTGTGAACGATGAGAGGAAAGCAGCTAACAACCACACAGTCTTAGATGCATTCAATATCAGTACTTAACAAACACAACATCAACAAAAAAATGAATATGATGACAGTAATGACACTAATAAATGAGCTAATAAGCTAATATGAAATAATAAATCTAATATTAGAAGATATTACATCCTTTATTATATTTGTTCAATTTCATTGTTGTTTTAATTTGTGATTTAATTTCAGTAGCATCAACTTCTTTAAATTGTTATTCATCAATCTAACTCTTTTATGGCTTCATAATGGCTTTCCCTGTGAGAAAATGCATTCTATAGCTGCACTCAATAGAATGGCATATTGAAGTAAATGACTTAAAAGCTGGTAAAGGGAACAAGCTTAATTCTATATCTTTCAAAGTAAATGGTTCTTTGCTCAGGAATAGCATTATTTAATCATTTATACTTTGGGATAATATACTTGCAGATTTTGCTTGTTGTTTAAAGCACACAAAGAAGTCTTTTGTCATTTCCCTAGTGCTCATAAATTAAGAAAAATCACTTAAATCAGCATTTGCTAAACTTTCATCACCTCCACATTCCATCTTCTCTGAAAGTATTTTAATCATCATTTCTTTTACAGTTTCTTTCCTAGCATATGAGTTAATCCAAATCATTTTAAACCATGGGTGAAGACCAGCTGAGAAAACATGATAGTTATTGACAAATGCAACTTCAAATGGCTTCTCAATTCCCGAAATCAGAGCATTAACAAGTGGCTTGCAAGTCTAGAATGATTTACCCCAAAATCTTTAAGTTTTGTCAAACATGCAGTAAGTGTTGGCAGAAATAGGCTTTAGTTTCACAATGAAGTAAATTCAGTAAGATTCTTACAGGTCATATGACAATTACATATTCTTTGATGAAGATTATATCCAAATGGTTGAAACGAGCATTGTCCTACTCATCACACACTTTACTGATTGAATACTCTTTCTTTGTTAGTATATTCTTTGTACTAATGAATGCATCATACATCAAATTCCTCCTCGTTCGTAGAGCACGGAACAACAAAACGTTTGTCCAGTTCTTGTTATATACAGTCAGCTGCTACAGCTCTGTTTGTTCCAAAACAAATTGGCCTTCACAATTGCTGATTGGGACCTACCATCCCTCAAAGCCTTTTATTTATTACTGGTTGCTACTAAATTGAGTGTATGTGCCACACATCAAAGATGCTCTGGAGAAATCAAACCTCACTGGACTCTATATATATCGCTATTAATTATACTGGAAATGCTGTGGAAGTTCATCTCATTTTCTTGTTCTTTATCACTTATTAATTTGAGTGTCTTTTGCTCTGCTTTGGAATCACTTGCATCACTACTTACAAGTTCAGATCTTGATTCAGTGGAGAAGATCCTGCAAAAACAAATAGTAAAATATAAAAATGGTTGTGTATACAATGTGTGGCATGACTGAGTAACACCATCTTGGTATGGTATTGCCGTATTGGCATTGTATAATAATAATAATTTAATTTCTTATACAGCACTCCTCTAGCCGTTGCCAGCCATTCAAATTGCCTGTTTTTAACCAGTCTCTACATTAGTCAAAAGCTAGGTGAAAGAGATACAATTTCAAATGACATTTAAAATATCTAATAGACTATGCACATTGCAGCTTAATAGGGAGAGTGTTCCAAAGCCTAGGAACATAGATAGAAAAAGCATGATCACCAAAATATGAGAGAGAGAGAGAGAAAACAGTACCAGTATTAATATACACTAGCTTTGACCTGCAAAACATTTGCAGTAGTTTTCATGCCCTTGCTTAAAGTTTATTATCATAGTACACAAATAAATATAGCATAAACACAAAGCTAATAACCCATAATTTAATATTATATGCATCAAGTTCTTAAATAATTTTATAACTTATAAGACAATATTTTAAAAAATCCTGAATTTCCCATAGTGTGAGAATTTCTCTGTAGGCATCCCCTCTACTCTAATTTATTCACCACCCCTCCAAGAAGTACAAAATTCAACATAAATTACTCATTATAATTTTGTCAAGCCAATTCTCAATCTGGAATCTTTATATAAAAGACTTTCTAAGGATATGTGATTTGTAGCATTTGATCGAGTAATTTAAGAGAAAAGATCCAGACAGAAAATCAGACGCAAGTGTATTATCTATATAGATTAAGATTAATATACATCATATATGTCGTTTATTGATATAAGATGTACTAATAAACAAAATATACTATAAAAATACTGCAATTAACCTGAATGCCTAGACAAAGTTTGATGCACTGTCAGTAATGGTTTTGGTAATCATGTTTTGAATGCAATATTTCATGTGAACTGCTTCCAGTTCCTTGGCAATCAAGTCATAGGTGTGGTGGTTAATGAGATGGCAGAAAGCAAGAACTGCATGTTCCCTCTTTAGGCTTTCTGGATCATTACGATGCACAGTCAACTTCCAGATAGGATCTATAAAAATAGACAATGCAAAGCTAAACTAGTGAATGCAAAATGCCACATTGTACACATTCACTGCAATTGATATGCTGAAGCCTATTTCAAGCCTCATTCTATTATTATATGTTTTTAATTTAAGGAACTGCAATAATTTTTATTATTCATAGATTAAAAAATGTTAATTTATTACAACTTACTTGTTGCAGCATCTCCAACAATCAGCTGTGGTCACGAGCTACTCTAGTGTGCTAAGCTTCTCTTTCAGTTCATCTTTTTTTTTTCTGGGTGTATTTATCATTAATTTCATATGTTAGGACATTCCTACAGAAAACTGTTTTATTTGGCTGTAATGTCTAAATAGGATTTTTCAAAGCTTCCAATTAAACAAAGTTGAAAGGAAGCATTTCCTCAATGACCAAATCAGCCATAAGTGTATATATTTTACATTGGCTAACCCTCCTGGCACTAGTAGCAATGAAGGCTCCAAGAGTTGGTTGTTCTGCTTCATTTTTCCCACTTTTTTCTTTTACTAGAAGTCTCATTGGTTGAATATGACCATTATTCTTATAAGTTTACATAACCACTGTCCCGAGACTCCTAGTAAGAGAGCCCTCGTCTCTGCTGCTTCAACTGACCATCTGCTTGACCTGTTTACCTCTATTCTTCTTTGATACATGATTCAAAATCTTTGAAATTATGGGAATGTTTGTAACTAATGTATTTCTTTAGATTAAAAAATGATTTCTTATTGTCACTGTAAATATTTTTTTGGGTAAACACAACTTACACTGCAACAAAACACTTTGGGATTGGGATCCACTTCAGAGGGATATTCACTTTGTAGCAAAGGAATAACCAGTTGTAATTGCTGCTTCAATAACGTGTGGAAGTAAAGACTTAACAACTAAACTTGTGCCATTAAATAATTTTGGAGGATCGAGATTTCTATAGGTGAATTCCTGTCTGGAAACCTTTAGCAATAATTGATCATTTATGCCATGCACAGTATTATTCTGAGGTGCAAGAACTGCTCTTTTACACAATCATTAATAATTTTTACAAATATTAGGGAACAGCTTTTCCTTTAGCTCTTCTGCATTAAGTTACCACATTTTTCTGGAATAGTAATATAGTTGTTTGAATGATTGGAAATTTCCAACACTAACTTAAGAAGAAGTTTCTGAATTAAACCATTTGCTTTTGTATCACAGAAGTTATTAAAAACAGAGGAAATAAAAATAAGCCAAAAATTAACATGTACATTACGCATTAAACATAAACAACACTCTTGGCCTAACAACAATATTGTGATAGTGTTGATGCTAAGCAACAATATATAGTGTTGAGTATTACCAAAAGGAGCATAATACAAAGACAGAAACTGAATCAAAAGCCAAAAATTAGTTATAGTGGGTTTGATGAAGGAGGTGATCCTGATTGAGCTAAGATTTGAAATCAATAAAAAACTGAAATCCCAACAGTGGTTCTTTACACTAAGAAAAATCTGTCCTTGCTATAAAAAAAAAAGAAAAAGAAAGATTTTAAAAACATAACGGATATCCACAAAACTAGAAATATTAAATACTGAGTAAAGTTACCTTAATTGATCTAACACTTTCAGAAAGCAACAACACCCATAAAACAAGAAGACAGAAGGATACCACAAGAGCAAAATGAAATGCAAGTGGAAATAAACAGCACTCTAAGCTGAGTGAGACAATCTCACCTGAGATGAGATGTATTCAACACACAGTTTTCCATTACAACAATGAAACATGACATTACGAGAAGTGATATTGACTGACAGAATACTAAAGTGTACCAAAACTGTACTTCATAAAAGCACTTAAAGGCTCAATGCTGGCATAACTTTTAGAGTTATGCCATGATAAAAATAAAAAATTAACCTTAATATTACTAACAGAAAGAGAAGATTACTAACGTCAAACTTTGGTCAAACTTTTCAAGTCATCAACAGAAACACTTACAAAGTAAATAATCAATTCTTAAAGACATCCAATGAATACTTCCACAGTAAGTTTTAGAGTCATTCAAAAGAACACTTCATTATTAACTAATAATTTTAAACTCCTTGAGATGAACACTGAATTGTCACTTCATAAAACTATTAAGAAAAGAATAGCATCACTTACTACACATTTCCTAAAATCACCTAGAGGAAGTTACCAGAACAGGTGCTCTCTCTTACAAATCATCAAAAGAAATATTTCCAAAAGGTTAGTTTCACTTAGTTAATATAGTGACAATCTTTATTAAATGTATTTGCTTAACAACCCAAAACTTCTACCAACTGCCATAATTACACAGGGTAAGTAGTATTTTCCTCTTTAAGTATCAATACCAGTACGTTTGTCTGGAATTAACAAGTTTTGGAAATAAAAGACAAAAAAGTATTCAATTTTTGAGCTCAAAGCTTCAACACACCAATAATTAAATTTTTTCTTAAATTATCTAAAACTGAAGAACTGTAGTTGTAGACAAAATTTACTAGTTCAGTAACAACATTTACCTGGCCATAGGCGAAGACTGTTGCATTATATCCCTCAAAACATCTGAAAGAGACATATTTAACATTCTTACTTTACAAATCAGACCTATATTAGTTAATTGGTTATTCAAAAGTAAATAGAGTAAGAAAGTTAATTCAGTTTAACATCATCTTGGCTCATGGTACATGTAGATGGCAGCATGAATAAACCAATACTATAACCCATGTTAATAAAAATTAACAATCCTAAAAAAAAGTAATAAAAAGTTTTCCTTCTCTTATTAATACAAAGCAAAAAGTTTAACCAAATTTTATAAAAAAGAATTATTTGTTTTCTGGGCACCAAAACTAAATCAATCACATTCAAAAAGTTATAATGGTTTTAACATTTTAAGTTAGTATTTTAATACATCATGCATGTAATAATCTGTGTTAGTTTGGAAATACTTTTATTCCTTTTAATTAATGGCTCACTCAACTTGAGATTAATAGTATCTAAATAAGCTGTACATTGGTTATCTTCTCTCTTGTATAAGTTAGTTCTTAACTATTATTATTCAACTGTAAGCAGTTTTTATAAGAATGTTATTTTATAGTTATATGCATCAATAAAGCCTAGCAATTAACATATTACTAGTAACATGAGCAACATTATTTGACAAAGAAACATAACTCCTACTAGTAAAATGAACAGAAGTACCTGACAGAGAAATATAACTACCACAAGTAAAATGGACATTACTTTACAAAGAAACATGATTCGCATTAGTAAAATGGACAACATTACATGACAGAAAAATGCAACTCCAACTAGTACAATGGATGACATTGTTTGACAAAGAAATATAACTCCTACTAGTAAAATGAACAGAAGAACCTGACAGAGAAATATAACTCCCACATGTAAAATGGACATTACTTTACAAAGAAACATGATTCGCATTAGTAAAATGGACAACATTACATGACAGACAAATGCAACTCCAACTAGTAAAATGGATAACATTGTTTGATAAAGAAACATAACTCCTACTAATAAAATGGATGACATTGTTTGATAAAGAAACAGCTTCTATTAGTAAAATAGAAATAATTACTTAACAAAGAAAAATAATTCCTACTAGTAAAATGAACAACATTACATGACAGAGAAATTTAGCTCCCATTAGTAAAATGGACATTACTTAGCAAAGAAATTTATCTCCTGCTATAAAATGGACATTACCTGACAAACAAATGTAATGCCTAAGGAACTGAATAAAGAATATAGTGCTTAAAAAATATAAAAGGTCTTAATACGAATATAATTAATTATAATAATGCATTGTCAGCTTAGAAAAGGTGTTCCAACAATAACAATTGTTAAAAATAAAAACTCATAACAATTGTTGTTGTAACAAATGACTTAGATAAATAATGTTCTGACCACTGCAGTGTTTGTTGTGTCCCAACCAGTCTGATGAGCTCTGTAGTGAGCCTAACATTTTGACAGTAATGGATATGGTGAACATATGTGGTTTAAATACTGTTATACACTCTTATTCTTGAAAATCTCTAAGGAACTGAATAAAGAGTGCAGTGTGTTAAAAAATATCATAGACTTAATACTAATATCTTCAGACAAACAACTGATCTTACTCAAAATATATATACTCTAGATGAACACTAAAGTTTTAAACTCACCCATCTATCAGGTTCTTCACACATGTGTTATAGACATCTTCTTGTAAAGTTGGCATGTCAAAAACGCTGTCAAATGTAAAAGCCTTATCTTTACCCAACCAGACCTGAGGATCTCCCGCAGACACCGATGTACAAATGTGACACATGTCAATGATTTCCCGTGAAACCTGAGGACGGATTCTGAAACGACAACATTTATTTTGGTTTATACAACAGTGCTCTAAATCACTGAGTGATTAAAAACTTTTTTCCCACTCATTGTAATTAAATTTATATATGCATGCAGTTATTGCGTATCTATTGCCCAGTCAACTAGATTAAGATAAATCATTCCTAAATATCAATTCATAAAAAATGAAATGCATACTAAATTTTCACAGTAAACTTAAATCTCAAACTAAAATTTTATTAAAATATTTTGCTTTTAAAAAGCTCAGAAATAACTTTTTCTTTATGTTTGGGTAGAATGTTTAGAATGAGAGAATGACAAAATTTTGCTATAGCTCCTGAACTGCAACACATATCAAAATGGTACAAATTAACACATTCTGTGCTTAACATTTGTTAGGCTGCAATTAAATAAGGACAAAAAGCATAACAATCGAATGTACACATATATTATCTGGTATAATGTAAAGAAAATTGTTTCTGATCATTTAAACTGATTACACAAGTTTGTGATGGTAATATTGTCTTGAAATTTCTCTATGTTCTACAGTAATTCCTGTACGTTGAATTGAAAAATGATATTCATTTTTCTCCATCATGTACAGATTTTTCACAAAACGTCATGTGTACTTTTACACAAGTCAATCATTATCAATGAAATCGGGTCACATTTTGTTATGCTTAAAATGTTGACAACTACTAGCTACAGATTTCTCTAGAACCAAAACATAACAAACATTGTGGTAAATGAAATAATAATTTGATGTAATTAAGAGTTTTTTTCTCTCTGATTTGTAAAAAATCCTTACGTGATAGAAAAAAAAATTATTTTCGAAATCTGTGAAGCTGAATTATGAAGAATCCATTATTAAAACTAAAACAACTTTTATGAAGTTTAAGTTCACAGGCCTGTGTTATTTATACCATCTTCCAAATGTAAATAAAAACATAACTTAAGATTGAAATGTTACCAACTTCACAAAAACAGAAAAATGAGAATGTAAGCTAAATTTTGTTCTGATATGACTGCATCTTTATCAAGTCAAATCATAACTTTTCAAATATAATCAGCTTAGTACAACAGTGTTCGACTTTAATTTTGGATGGAATTTTACTACCCCTACTTGTGGCATTGAAGAGGAGAAAAAAAAACATCAACATTTAATGGCGTTTCTGTATTTTTCTAAGTCTTCTCTCCAAGATAAAAATTAAATTCTTATAATGAAAGAAATTAAACTAACCCAAAATGTGAAGTTTCACCTACTCACTAAGACTAGATAATGCATGAAAAGCTTTAGAATAATTAAAATTTGAGTTCATAAAAATTGGTAAGATTTTTACAGAAGAACAAAGTTAATTTACCAAATTAAAAAAAATAAAAATGCATTATCTGTAGTCCAAAGATGGTTAAAAGAAGTATTTATAAGATGTCACCAGATATAGTCACCATGAATGCACATCAATTTATGCATTTTTACTGCTTTTTTTCTCTGAAAAATTCCACACTCCATAGTTTGAAACATATTTATCACGGATTAACAGTATATTTTTTGTGACTAGTGCAAAGCTACATGATGGGTATATCTGAACTTTACCCACCACTGGTATCAAAATCCAGTTTTTAGCATATAAGTCTTTAACCTATTGTTGAGCCAGTACAAGACTGGAGTAATAACAATGCTGATTAATAACACTTTTGCTTCAACAATTATTTCTTGCATAATTAAATTATCAAATAACATTTGGCATGGGTTATTTTTACAAATGTTAATATATCACAATTATAATATAATTAACCCATGATCCATTATAATAGTAAGTTTCAGAATTTATGCTTTGAAAAAAAAAGAAGATGGAAATACGCAGAAAAATATTGAAAACAGAAAAATGATTTCACTTTGTACCTGAATTTATGCAGAATTAAATTAAGACAATGATGCTCATTTGGTCTGATAGTTTTAATTATGACCCTGATTAATATAAATACAATCCAGCAAATAAATTCACAAAAAAAATTCTTTACACACACACTGAACTTTTTTTAATTACTAATTAATACTGTCACATAAAGAGAGGCAAATTTGATAGTAGACATGAGTAAGCACAACCACATTACACTAAATTTTATAAACTGCTTTGTCACTTTTTTTGTAATTAAAATTAAAGGAGTCTACTTTAAAATATGAAATTACTTATTTATACTACTAGTTGCTAATATGTACGGTTAAATGTCACAAAAATGAAATTAGTGTATCAGCCAAAAACCAAATCAACTGTGAAATCTACCTAGCTATGTCAATGCATTAAATTAGGGATTTAATTTACCAACAGATAAGGATGTTAGTTAGTATTGACTGTCTTACTATCTCTGTCATTATCTGCCGTATTTGACTTTTAAACAGTTGTATTATGTTAGAACTTTAAGTATATATATGGGCATGGGCCAAGGATTCTTCTACAGTTGGTGATAAATTCAAACAATAAACAGACAGCATGTCACTCCACTTGTTTTAAAATAATATATTCAAAACAAGTTCAGCATATGTACAAATATTCTTTACACTATGGAGATCACAGTTGTATCTTAAACACTATACAGTTCTCTTCTTGTCAAAAGTCCACTTAGGTTAATTCAATTGCTTTATAATCCAGTTGACAAGCCGTAACTATTTTTCTCTACTTTTATTATAATAGTTTCAGTGAATAATTCACTTATGTTGCTTAGTGGATTACCAAATTTGTATCTTGAACTTCCAATAATTCTCTTCTTTTCATCAATGTCCACACTGACGGGTTCAATTAGTTTAGAACACTCTTTGACAAGACAAATTATTCTCTTTACCTCTATCAAACTGTTAATCTCACTTTAAAATATCAATTGTTAAGACTATTCACTCCCACGATGACTAACTTCACATTTTCTAACTTTTCTCTGATTGAACTTCTCTTTCACTCGAATTTACTCTGCTCCCACTCGCTTGGTCACCTCTATTTATATGTTTATCACTAAGGCCTCTAGAATCTTCTACAGCCTTGACACCAATGAATTGCACACAACATACGACTGTTACTGAGTTACGTAACCATACTTGTGATAACTTTTAATTCCCTTGTTATGAAAAACTAAACAATCATTAAATATTAACTCACAAAATAAATTAAATAATAATGCCTACACTGAACAGTCTTTTATATCCAACAATAAGCCCCTCTTCAAGAAAAATATTTACAATATTTTTTACACTATATACAAAAAATGTTCTACGTTCAGATACTAAGTCTTCTCATATAGTCTACACCAAAATGTACAGTTCTTTTGTCAGTCTCAACTCACATAGAGCCTCTGGTAGGGTTTCACCTTGACAGGATCCGTTGTCTTCATCTTGATCTTGTGTTGTCTGTATTTCCTAATCTATCTCTATACTGATAAAGTAGATTTTGTTCCTCTTTATTCTTCTTAATAGTCAGTTTTTCACTTATGTTGACATTCTTGTATGTCTCATCTCCAGTGCTCTTAGGCCTAGTAGGTCATTATCTTCTATATTGAAGTTATTGTCTTCAGATTCTGCTTCTATGACAGCCACACCTGTCATGACCATCAACAAATGCATCCATAAGGTCTTCTTCCCTCTCAAAGTACCTCTTCACCAGATTGGTGTGGTAGACCATAGTTGTTCCATCAACTTTCACTTTATAGTGCATTCTACTTATCACTTCCCGTACTATGAAAGGTCCTTTCCACCACCAGGTGAGTTTATTGTTGCCTGTATGTAGCAGAACTAAAACCTTCTGTCTGACCTTGAAATGTCAACCCTTGGCCTTCTCTCTGTCTGTGATGGGATTGATCTACCCAGTAGAACTGCTTTGATAGGTCAAGTTCAATACTTCTTTCTGGTTCTATGTTTTGTAAGTCTCTTTCTTCTTTGTCTTGTGCTTGACTTCCTCTCGGGCACTGTCCCGAAGTTTCTGTGGTGAAAGGTCTTTCTTCTGCACTTCCCTCAACGTTTTACTACATGGTTTCCTATCACCAAGTCATATACTGGTTCCTTGATACAATGGCTTCAAAGTCTCCTACATAATATGGAGTATCCACCTTTATTTTTCCAAATCACTCTGCTCAAAGTGCATATCCTTAGATTTTTCACTGAAACTCACTTTCCCCACCTTATGTCCCAAATACCAGGATTGTTGGGATCCTTTTAAATACAGCAAAAATACTCAATATCTTCTTATTGCATTATTAAGACACTTGAAACTATTAGTCCTATGAGAAGCTATCATAATCGTTGATGTAAACAACAAACAAAGTCAAAACAAATACCTGATGGATCTCCTTTAATCATTCTCCCAATCAACAATAAACTAACTAATTGCAGTTCAAAAGAAGAGCTGGATAAGGAAATACATTATCTGAAAAATGTACTGGTGAAGAGAAATGGTTATCTTATTAGTGTGGTTAGAAAATACGTAAGAACTGACAAGTTGACAGAAAAAAAAGAAAAATCATTCAGATAATTTGGTATATTGTGTAATTCCTTATGTACTTGACTTGTCAAATACCATAAAAAAGACTGTTGAAAGAAATAGAAAGGAATAGTGGAATTGACTGTCACATTATATCTCCTTCACGGCTTAAGATTAGATCCCAAGACACGCAGATTGCGAGTGGAATGCTCTAACCACCAGGTTATTATCATAAAAACATCGAACAAATTAGAGAAAGAAAAATGGCAAATCGCCCAAAAAAAGATGTTCTACTCTGTTCAAATAGACTGCTGAATCCTTCACCCTAACTAATTCATCTTATAAAATGTTATTTCATTTTCTACATCAAAAGAAACAAAGGGAAAATCATCAAGTTTGTACACCCGAAAAGATGGGAGGCTAATTAAACAGATGAGTCTATCCTCCACCTTTGCTTTTCTCAATATGACTAACGGTTATTTTAAATATATTATTAATGAGAAGGCCTACGTAGAAAGTTGCCTAATATTCCAAGTGCGATCAATTTG